AGTACGGTTAAATGCAATGCATTGTGGTCAAAAGTGATGAATTCGAGAATTCGTCGCCCCTTATATATTTCCCTTAAATCCTGATTGTGTTGCTGCTCGCTCCCCGCGGTCGCTCCGCAGCAATCAAGAGCCATAATGGGCATCCCATTACCGGGCTCTGAAATATGCCAATTTTCACGATTTAAGCGTTCTCAATTTCATTTTATTTTTCAAAAGGTCTAAAATTTTTAAAATGTTTAGATAAACTGAAGTAAGCAATGTATGAATTATATGCCAATTAACATTGATACCAGACTGCGTTGATACAAAATGCAATTTACCAGTAAAACCAGCTCACCAATTTCAGTATTTGTCGTCACATCAGTCCTCGGTATATGTTGTTGCTATTACTTGTTAACAATGTTTTCTGTGTCAAGTTGGGATAGTTCGTTTAAGAATTTTGCCTCTGAATAATTAGAGAAGTCACGGAGTAGCATTTTTTTACTTTGGAGGTAATACAGAATTGAGAAAAGTGGTCAGTGAGATCTGAGATTATATTACCGCTTGTTATGGTATCTTCTAGATTGCTAGCAAAGATGTTGTCAATGAGTGAATATGAGTTATGATGTACTCTTGTTGGTTTTGTCAATTGTTGGGGTCAAGTTGAAGCTTTGCAAGGATAAGATAAAGTTTTGAGCGTACATTTGCAATCATGAAAGCGAAGGAGATTAATATTAAAATCACCCATCAAAAAGATCTGCTTGCCAGAGGCGGTGAGTTTTTCGACTGTTCGATCAAAATATTCCTGAAAAAGCTCTGGCGAATTATGCTGCCTATAAACAACTCCGCATATTATATTTGCATGTTTGGGTAGGTGTAACTCAACCCAAAGGGCCTGAAAAGCCTCATTAGAACATTTTTCGATAATTGTGTATTCAAGATTCTCATCAATATACATGCCAACACCTCTAGCTGAAAGAGGTGTTGGCACATGTTCGAAGTTATAGTGGGATATAGTCCCGGGGATATAGTAGGATTGAAATCCAGATTATCACATGCAGTTTTTATTCTAGTTTCTGCGATACCTAAAATATTGAAGCGAAAAGTAAGTTCATCTAATAGATGGGTTTGGAAATTTTTTTCAAATTATGTTTTAAGCTTCGGATGTTGGTATGAAAGAATGAAAAACTAGAATTTGAATAGGAAGACGTATTTAAATGTCTTTTTAATTGGGAAAAGCTGTGTGGAGAGTAATATTTACGCCTAGTGGTTGGAGTATAGGCGCGGAGGTCGTCAGATTTCTGGTCTAAAAGACTATTTAGAGTGAATAAATCTAGATCGTGAAAGCTTGGTAAGCGATCAAGATATTTTTTAGTGCGAAGACAAGTATCGAGACTGTTATTGAACTGACCATGAGAGGATATGAGATCGCAAGAATAATAAGGCAGCTCTCGTAGGAGAACTTTGTTTAGCTTTTAGTTTGATTCACAGCTTATCGTGGTCCTAATTTTAATCTCTTAACTTGTTAATCCGTGGCGGACAGCAAAATTGTCTAAGTCTCTGGCACACTTGATTGCGATCGGTCGAGAGTGCTCGTTTTCCCCAGCCATACTGTGGAATTTTTAGCCCAACAAAAAGCCAAGTTTAGCCTTTGTTTCAGTTCTTTTAAACCTTATATACATACAGCGCGTTCTAGTAAGTTGAAAAAGGTTTTTACTGGGCAAAAACATCATTTAAAAAATCTGTCAGCAGTAAAAATATCCGNACTGTTATTGAACTGACCATGAGAGGATATGAGATCGCAAGAATAATAAGGCAGCTCTCGTAGGAGAACTTTGTTTAGCTTTTAGTTTGATTCACAGCTTATCGTGGTCCTAATTTTAATCTCTTAACTTGTTAATCCGTGGCGGACAGCAAAATTGTCTAAGTCTCTGGCACACTTGATTGCGATCGGTCGAGAGTGCTCGTTTTCCCCAGCCATACTGTGGAATTTTTAGCCCAACAAAAAGCCAAGTTTAGCCTTTGTTTCAGTTCTTTTAAACCTTATATACATACAGCGCGTTCTAGTAAGTTGAAAAAGGTTTTTACTGGGCAAAAACATCATTTAAAAAATCTGTCAGCAGTAAAAATATCCGGTATTAACCTCCAGGCATCATGAAATTCCAGGATTGCTCCTGGACAGTCCAATCATTACTAAATAACTGAAATTACTATATTACGTGTCTTAAAACTAAACCTTCTGTATCTTTTCTACTTCTAATTAACATATTAGCTTTCGAATGCGACAAAAATGTGCTATCCAATTAATAAGCATTCACATCCAGGGCATGGCCAATAAGAGAAAAGCAATGTATTACCTTATTTAGGATTTTAAATTGCTATTACATTTAAGCTACAATTTTTTCCTTTCATTTCAAATGCGAACACGTCATCTTTGAAGAAAGCCAAAGGCTGCGCAAGAACATTGTAAGTAAACGCCTATAATAACAAAGTTTTTAGATTCTGAGACTTGGATAAAATCACTTTATTTCTTAAAAAGTTGATATCTATTTACTCGTACATGTCTGTAATTTCAGGTATGCTTCAACGGGTACTATATCAACTTACAAAATTTACTGTCTAAGACTAATGTTATAATTACTTATACTGAAACCGAGTTATGCTCAAATACCTTTAAGTTGGAGCCAGATTTAAATTCTAGCAGTGGGGTAATTTGCAGGAAAATTCATCGCAACTGTACTGGATTATTAGGGATAAAATTAACAAGAGAAATAAGAGGCGTAACCAGGATTTTTTCAGAGGTACGCTCAACTCACCAATTTCCGTGTCCCTATTAAAACGAATTCGCGTTTTTTCAAACTTTCTTGCGTTTATTCCAACTTGCTCAAAACGGCAAATGTGGATAAATTTCACTGGAGTTGAATCCTTGGGAACCGCACTTTAGCTTGAACAGAGTAAGAATAATTCACTATCGTGTGTTTATTTTCACGTCCTCCAAACTACGTGGCATTTTAAAAAATTTCACTTGTTTACCCTCAACTTTTTACAGGTACCCCCATGCGCACCGTGCGTATCTTCCTGGAAATGCCGGGAGGCATACTCGGCCTCGCACCCACAAGTAAAAGTTAAAGTATTTATGGGCCAAAACACACGGAAAATGTTTTCACAGAAAAACTCAAAACTGGAACTTTTAACCCCATGATTTGGCACAGTGGGTACGCAAGCCACAATAAATCATAGTTTGGAAAGCTTTGTATTTTTTCCTTAATTTTCCTTCTTTTTCTTTTTAAGAATTAGTCACTGACTAGCCTTTATCATTCCGTTATGTAGGTATATGTGCATGCTAATTTCATATTGCCTCAATGAACCATTTTCAAAATCAAAAAATTATTTACCAGTAGCTAACTTTGAATTTCCATCTCTCTGAAAGTCAATAATGCCGAGATTAATGTAGTGTTTTACACAGACTGTACGCGGTGTAATACGGGCCTCTTGCATTTCGAATTCCCTCTCATCACAACAAATTAAAAAATAGCGATGATAAAAATTACTTTTGTAATACGCTTATATCTTGCGTAACCCAACAGTGAAAAAATCTTTCTTTCACTACATGAAATCGAAAAATGAATGTTTTATTTTATATTTCTTAGGCGACATTATGAGGCGCTGAGGAATGTGTCACCAGGGCACCAGGGTGGCTTCAAGTTATCCACCTATCCAAGCCAACAGACTAATTTCCATGTAATAAAATTCAAACTTAGCTGCGAGGCTTGGAAAAAAAACCCAAGACAAAGGAAATGACCTTAAGGTCCAGGGATAAGATGACGCATTTCTTAATTACTTTATTCCGTTAAACCTCACAGCCAAGTATGAATTTTATGAATTTATCGAAATAGACCTTTTTTAGCCAGCAAGTTTTGTTTTCCCATTTCAGACCACTTGATGGTACCCTAGAGAAAATGTTTCTCTTCAAATGTCGTCCTATGGACGCTCATTCACGAGCATATGTACGCATAGTTCAAGAAAAGACAAAAGACAAACTCCCTAGAGAACATCACGTAGCCATAGTCATTATTGGAAAAACAAATTATATAAGCTAAAAAAGTCTATTGGCCTATTCACTATTTTCACATTGCCAATAATGCACCTTGGTTACCCCTTCCCCCCCC